TTTATTTCTGCACCTACTGAGGACATCTTGATTGCTTCCAAGTTTTGGCAATTATGAATAAAGCTGTTGTAAACATATGTTTGCAGATTATAATGTGGACATAAGTTTTCAATTAATTAACATCATAACATTTTATTGTCCATCTCATCTTTTAAATGTGAATTTTGAGCACTAGACCTTCATTTCCAGTATAATTTTATTTTATACCAGAAATAATTTCAAATAATTTAAAATACTTAACATCTTTTTCTAGCTTTTAGTTTAAATAATTTTTTTTATGATTTTACAGGGTGTACCAGGGGTACTTTACAAGGTGTATCTAGCTGGCTCAGATGGTAACGAATCCATTTGCAATGCAGGAGATCTGGGCTCAATATCTGGTTCGGGAGGATCCCCTGGAGAAGGGAATGGCAACCCACTCCAGCATGCTTGCCTAGAGAATCCCATAGACAGAGGAGCCTGGCGGGCTACAGTCCATGGGGTCTCAAAGAGCTGGTAACGACCAAGTGACTAACAGTTTCACTTTCACTAGAATTTTACTGAGAAACCTTATTTAATTATATTTTTTAATTAATGTAAATATTCTTATATTGTTACAATATAAGAAATTTACACTGCATTTTGCTGTGGGACCCATTCTATAGAATGGAATGTATCTTGGAAAGACAAAGGATAGGAAAGATTGATTTTGAATTCAAAGCCGTTAAGTTCAGTTGCTATTGTCCTAAATCATAGCTCATTCTGTCTGAGGCGTGAAATCTATTGCTGAGTCCCCAGTAGAGGTTGATGGTACCAGAAATAATTTTTCCCATTTTTAATTTCAGTAATTTTGTCTTGAAGAATATATTTTCATCCTTTTCTAAAGCCGCCTGGTAGTTATTTTCATATACCTTGGTACTGTGAATGTTCAATGAAATAATTTTATTGAGAGCTTTTTTTTTTTTTAAATAAAATATATGGCAAAACTAAAAGGAGCAAGGGGATACAGTGGAAACTTTGATTCCATCACGGAAAGAGTGACTTTATTGCCTGCATATTTGAAAGTACATTCTATATACCCTTTGGAAAAGGAAAGATATTAGTTCTTGGCAATTTCCATTTCTTTTTTTATATATCTCTTCTGTTTTATATCTAAAATGTCTACTTGATGTAATCAAGGGGACTATTTTGTCTCAAACTTTTGTGAAAAATGGATTATTTAAACTACTAGTAAAGTTAAAAAAATAAACTACTAGTATTAAATTTTCAGTTCACTGCCTATGGAGAACTAAAGATACCATTCTCTCCATTTTTTCTAGGTTTAATAGGTGAAAGAAAATACATAATTCTTTATTTTAATGTTACCTGGCTAAAACCTTGGGAAATAAATCAAATGCTGAACTATATTAAATTCCAGGCAATAGTGAGCTTTCATGGAACGGTTAGAAGTGTATGGGTATAAGAGGCTGAATGATTTGATTTCAACTATGTATGAGCTCAGTTTTTCCATCTTGGAAAATGGAGATACTATTATATACCTAATTCATGGCATTACTTTTTGAGAATTAAAAAGGATGATCTGTATGAAAGGATATGTTTTGTGTGCCTAGAGCATGGAGGCACTCACAGTGTTAATTCATTCCTTCCCCGCCTGCCGTGTGTTTCAGGAAACAAAAGTCAGGACTGCTTATGTGTGAAGCACTGTATCTGGCACCGTGGCAGTAAAATGATGGAAAATATCCTGGTTCTGTGGGTGCAAATTATAAGTATTGTAAATATAATTAATCACTGTTGCCCTTCTGAAGTTTTAACACCCACAGCACGGTAACTAGGCAAGCACATGCTCTTCTCTGTAGCATGTCAGTAAACTCTTTCCAAATGATGGACATAGCTGTGTACCTCAGTAACTGTATCCAGGGGGACTACTGGATTTGAGGGGACCTGAAGGAAACGAGGACAATATTAGTTAGAGGGAAAGTAGTCAAGTGGTCAAATATTGGACTTTCTACACCTCCAAATAATGGTCAAATATTGGACTTTCTACACCTCCAAATAATGGCTTTATTTTCCCTATTATGAATTCCCTAATATGATAGCCACAAGCCACATGTGGCTATTTAAGTATAAGTTGATTAAAAAGGAATAAAATTTAGAAATCAGTCTCAGTCACAATCACCACAGCTCAAGTGCTCAATGACCACATGCCACTGGTAATTACTCATGATTATTACAACGGGTAGCACAGATATAGAACATTTCTACCAATATTATCACAGAAAGTTCTACTGGAAAACTGTTTAAAAGATGAAATTCAAATTTAGGGGAATGATACCAAAAATTGCCAATCTTTTCCTGAGTTCTTATAGCTATAGTAGAGAAAAATCAGATGTTTGTAAGAAAATATGAGAGAAGGAAGTCATAGGCAATTAAGTATATTTTTCCTTGCATTCGTGGCAGTGATAATAACCTTTATTGAACACTTATTCCTTCACTTGAATTATATTATTTAATTTGCACTCACACACACACATAGTCAATGAGATGCACTTTTTTCCCCTGTACATGTTGAATAAAGAGGAGACTGAGGAACAGAAACGTTAAGTAATCTGTCAAAAACTGTTGCAGCAGGAAAGTGACACAGCTGGGTTTGAACTCAGGTAGTTAATTGGGCTCCCAATCCCTAGCAGGTGATTCACTTGAGAGGTAATGGATTGAATCAAAAGACTTTAGAATTGAATTTAATCAGAAAATATTGATAAAATGTAAAAGTCACTCAAAATCTTACTACATATTTTGGAATTATGTAAGATGTAAATGATCCTCTAGGCATCAATCACCTTCCTCAAAGGTAATAAGTATTAATTTGATGGATACCCTGCTTGAATTTTCTGTAAATTAATGTTATATAAATAAATACAATGTTCATATTTATAATCCAACATATTTATATGCAATTTAACTGCATATATGGCCATCTATACTGTGTATGTGTGTGTATACACACACATCATGAAATTGTGGTGTACACATGTGCTTGTATATTATCTGCCTAAGAGGATGTACTGAACGTCTTACGGTTCAACACATATACATTTATCTTATTTTTTAAAAAGTTATTGCACAGAGTTCCATTGTATTTGTATATTATGCGCTATTCAACCATCGCTTTCTTGGCACACTCTTATGTCTATTTTTTCTATTCAGTCAGCATTGCAACAAATATACTTGTTCATATATTTTAAAGTACTATTATATTTGCAAGATATAGTCTTAGGAGTAAACTGCTAGATTTAAGAATATATGTATTTTAGTTTAAATAAATATTGACTGATGTTCATGAATGTTTTATAAAGGTGATATTAGACTATGCTATTTTTTATTGCTTTTACAATTCATATAGGAAAACATTTCTTTGAAAGCCACTACTTAACCACATTGGTTAAGGGGTATTATTATATGTGGGCTTCCCAGGTAGCTTAGTGGTAAAGAATCTGCCTGCCAATGTAGGAGATGCAAGAGAGGTGGGTTCAATCCCTGGGTCGAGAAGTCATTTCCTGAAGTAGGCTCCAGTATTCTTGCCTGGAAAAATCCCATGGACAGAGGAGCCTGGAGGGCTACAGCCCATGGGGTTGCAAAGAGTCAGACACAACTGAGCAATTGAGCACGCATGCACATTGTTATATGTATCTATATAAATATATGTATATTCATGAAAAAATTTTATTATGTCTAAGCCTAAAACAAACTTAACAACAAAGAGACGGATCTTGGATATTAGACAGACACACTCTTTGAGTGACTTAGTAACTGAATATATTAGTTATGTAACTATAAAATCATTGGACAGGAAAAACCTAGTAATAGTTTGATATTTGCAGGCTTCACCAATACACAAAGACCACATTTCATTTTTTATAACCATCTTTGTAAATGACCTGAACAGTCAACAACATTTTGTTTATATTTTCTTGTTCACAGAGAATAGAAGGAATAATCCTATATATGAATTTAAATCATAAAATGCTTCCCCCTTATCTTTTTTGCTTTCAGAGGCAAAGCTCTGTCTAGCCCAAATCATCAAATACTTGGCTCAGGCTTTCACATCACGTAGAATCAAACTCTGACTTCATGGAATGCCACGAAAACTGGTTATATTCTATTAAAGGAACAAAAAATACCTCATGCAATTCTTTATAACATTTGGTATGGTAAAGGGAGCTTTCTAGGGCTAAAATTTTTGAAGTTAATAATAGAAAAATCTGTCCAGGTTCACACACTCCCTTATCTTATTAAGCATTTTCTTATCCTGGAAGAGAAATGATGCAGAATATGTAAATATGTTTCAAGTTCAGATAGCAGAAATCCAACCAGAATTATTTTTGTATTACATAATATAGCAATGATCTGTGATTTAAAAGGAAATAGTCTGAAAGAATGAAGGTAGCATGTTATTGTTGAAAGATGAAAATTTTTAATATTTCCTTTTCTTGGTATTGGTGATAGAGTCTTCTGGATGTTAGATAATTCTGCTGCTCTCTTTTGACTTTATAATTCTTGTGTAATTCTTATTGTGTGTCTATGTATGCACATAAGAATAGAGTTGTGTATGCTACATTTTATCTATGTTCATATTCATATTTGTGTTTCATTCTCCTTTCACAAATGAGAAATACATTTATAGATACTTTATGAGAAATACTGACAGAATACACAGATGAAAAAGAACCCCCCCCCATAAAAAACAGTAGAAGAGAAAGAAAGTGGCAGTCTGAGCCAGGGAAAGGATTTATGTATATTTACTTCTAGATATTAAAAAGGTAAGTTTATGTTTACAGGCATAGGTTTTCATACTCTCTTGATTACCAACTAAGTTTCATTTGTGTTTCATATCCTTTCCTATAGCTATTCACAAATCTATTTACTGCTGTGAGGTCATACCAAAGCATTTTATTGAAAACATAAATGTGTCATTGTGATGACTGCCAGATATTCCACCAGAGTGAGATTTCTTTGTTTTTCAGAATCTGCCCTTGAAGAAGATTCCATGCAAAGCCAGTGCACCTTCAGGCTCCTTTTTTGCCAGAGACAATACAGCAAATTTCTTATCCTGGTGCCGAGATTTAGGAGTAGATGAAACATGTCTATTTGAATCGGAAGGTTTGGGTATGTATATTTCCTTTAGAATTTTAGTTGATATGATATTAAAATTACTGTTTGTCAGTATAACTCTCAAAATTAACTTCTTTGTGTGATTCATTTCACAGTTTGTTAACTTTAAAAAATGTAGTTTGTTGTAAACTTGTAGGGTTTTTGTTAACTTCAGTTTTTGAAGGTAGAAAAATTCACCCTCTTACTCTTGGTCACCTTGTGCATAAAATAACAGGAACATAACTAGCAGAATTCTTTCCTGGCTAAAAATAAGCATATACATTACAAAATGGGGGATTCTTGGAAAATGTAGGGTTAAAATTTACCACCAGGCTCTTACCTGGACTAGAAGAATAGCTACATGTGTTCCAGCCATCCATCATGAGCACTTTTGTCTTTTCACCTCTAAAAAATTATGAAAACACTATCGCTTATAAGCACTTTGTTGAAACATTTTTTAGTTAAGCTTATTTTTAGTTAGTGAAATTTGTTTTTTGCTAGTTAAAAATTAGGCAAACAAGAAAGAGATTAGGGCAAATTGAAAATGATGGAATAAAGACAGGTGGGGTCTCAAAGAGTCAGGCTCAGAGTTTTAGCACATACCTTAGTGCTTAGGCTTACCCAGATAATTTTGGGGTTTTTGTTTTGTTTTATGATTGAATTTTGGCAAATGCACTTCCAGACCACAGAGCCTGGTTTTGTATTTCCCTGGAAGAAAACATACATTGGACCATTTAGTGTTTTGACATTACTTGGTACCCTTAAATGTTCAAATCTTTTATATAAGATCTATCCCGGTGGTACTCTATAATGGAAAATATTGGAATTAAAGACCAGTTTTAGTAAGGTGGAACTAAGTGAAGAAAGGAGACATTTAGGGGGTGGGGGAAATGCTTTGGTTCTTTTGCCTGAGGCTTTAAAACTCAGTTTACAAAACCATGTAATACCAAATATTAACATCAAAGTAAACTAAGCATCCTTCAGAGAGAACACATATACAAATTACCTTATTAACGTTGAGAATATTCTTTGCCTTGAAGCCTCACAAAACAAAATCCCTTCCCCTGCTGAACCTAGGAAACTGATGGTATGGCAACTAAAGTCTTACTCATTTTTTGTGCTTAAGGAAATTTGTATTTGTACTAAGAGAAGTTAATGTGATACGGAAAAGACTGTCATCAGATTTCTGAGAAGTCTCTCAGTGGAGAAGAGAATAACATGAACTTAGACTAGGAGAACATTTTATACCTGAAAGAAAAAATAAACCAGAATAATTGCACAGTAGTGTACTCTATAAAACAGTGTGCTAAGTGAACGCCCGTTGTATGAATGGACTTTGAATGTTCTTACCATTTCCTCACATCAAAGTAAAAAAAAAACTTGGTGGAAGATATATATGGATATAATTCTTTTTCAGGGCTTTGGTAATTTTACAAATAGATTTTAACTTTCAGGTTTATAGGTTTATGTGAGTGGAGGATTATAGGAAGGGAGTGAGGCAAAATTATTTGTGGAAAAAACCCATGAAAGAGTTATTAAATGTCTGTGGGTATACACACATACACATACACACATATACACATACATTTAAAAAAAATCAATTTGTATTGTGTATTTAAAATACACAGTATTTTAAAAAACACTAAGTGTACTATTAGTCACAAGAAGTCCACTTTTCAGGTGTGGACAAATAACATCATGATTTAAAATCCTGGAGTCCTCCTACATTGCCATGTGGGGAAACTGATTTATTGTTTGTTACTTTGCTCATTGTGCAGGTTTCCATTCAAGAAAGAATTTTTCAGTGACTTCTGTAGGCCAAGTGGACTACTAGAAACTATGAATATAAATATGATCTTGTCTCAATTTTCTTACTATCCGTAAGTTTTTCATGTTACTTGAACTAATAAAACATTCAGCTGGACTCCAGGAAGCTTGGATGACTTTTTAAAACCCCATTCAAATAATAAATAATACATTTTATCTTGAAACAATAAAGCATAATTCAGTTTATATGATAGTGGTCCTTATACATAAATACACACTCTGTAGCATATAAAATCATGTGAAGAAGAGTTTTTAAATGGTTGAGTTCTTCACCCTATTTGACTTTATAAAAAAGAAAACCCATGGTAATTTACATGCAATAGCTGGTAAGTATTTTGTTAAAATATCTTTGATTCTGCTTATCTTCTATAGTATAGCTTTGCTTATACCTTGCAATTAAAGTGTATTTATATAGCCAAGAAAGTTTAATAAGACCAACTTTTCAAGGCTATAAAATTTTTTAAAATAATTTTGAATCCTCTCTGTACCAAACTAGATGAGGTAATTCGGCTTTCTAGTTTGTTACTTAATGAAAAGATAAATTTGAAGTTTCTGCTGCTTAGAATAGGACATGAGGTGATGTATAATAGGTCCTGTGGAGATGGAAGAAAGGAGCCAGTATGATAGCATTGATTTTAGGATTATTCAGAGAAAGGAAACAGCTGTGTCCATCGATGTTCATGATAATCACGAGGAAGGACAATGAGAAATTCCATTTCCCCAAGTAGAACCCATTCTCCTTGGGTTTTTCTTATTGTTCACGGTGGGTGAGGATGTGACTGAGCCACGGCTGAAGGCCGTGGATGCTGCGCTTGCAGAACTGACTTTCTTGCAACATAACACTGTGTACTCTGCTTGATGTCTTTTCACACTTCACTTTTGAAAGGGAATTTAGGACAAGGGTTTCTTCTTTTTTCCCTATCTCAAGATTTCATTTCAGTAGCACACAAGATGAAGAGCAGCCTTTGTGTCCTAGCATTTTGAACAGCAAGTAAAATGAAAAGATGCCCTGATGAAGGGGAAAAAATCTGTTTGAATGAATGATAAAGTAGATCACTGTACTGAGTGTGTACCAAGAGGCTTCTGTCTTTAGCTGTTCAAAGGTCTTTGCCTGCATAAAGCATTCTTATCTTTGTGGCAACTGATACATTACTGTCTGTGGCAGTGCTTTTTTTTTTTGTACGATTATTTGTGAGAGGATCTTAATCCATGACTCACTCTGTTCTCTTTCCACGACAGCTAATAACAAGAAATCTCAGTGGGTGGGGAAAGATGCCAGGGATGAACTGTGGAGTATAGACAGCATCTGATTCCATATGCTTCTCTCATGCTTGTTGCTTTGATTCTTGGCAGATAACTCTTTATGCCACATGATAAAATCACATACAGAGCATAACCTGCCATTTATCTTCTAAGACATTCTTGAGAGAGAACTTTTTCTCTGTCAAATGTCAGTTCTTAGATTGAGTTAACTAATATCCCAGAATAGTATTTCAGAGATGAGTCAATAGAAAAGTGGATACATGTCATAAAAAACTTTTTCATAGAAGACTTATAAAAGCCCAAAAGAGAGATAAAAATGTTTGATACCTTAGTGATAAGTCAAATGCAAATAAAAACTATGAAAAATTAATGATGATTAAGAATTGTATATTTAATGTTGGAGTAAAGTCAACACTAAATATTCAATTCTTAATCCTTGCTAATTTTTCATAGATTGAATTTGCATTTGACTTATTACTAAGTTATCAAACATAGAGGAAAGTGGGATCTTCTATATATTGCTGAAGAATAATTGGAAATTTTTTGCCTTTTTTGTCTTCTTGGGCAATTTGACATTATGTATTAAAGACTTCAGAAGTGCTCATGTTCTTTTTATCAAGTTGTTCTACTTCTAAAAGTTTATTTGAAGGAAGTAGAGATAGGTAATACAATGTCTATTGAAACATTTTTTTATGAGCTAAAAAAATGAATGAAGATAATTTGGTGGTAGCTTAAACAAACTGTAGTCATTCATAGATACCAAGAAAAATAATATTCATAATATTTTGAGACTAATAATATGGGAAAATTATGATATAATATAAACATGAGGTCTTAGCACTAACATCTGGTAAATAACAATAAAATGCTGTATTCAGAATTTGAAAGTAAGACAAAGAGTAATTGAATTGTAAGTAATATTTTCTTCTTCAATTCTCTGTTAACACATGTTAGGCAGTAAACAGGTATGGCATGTAATCTGAAACAGACAATTTTACTCATATTAAGATGATTGCAATCTTAATTGAAATCAAATTGCTTAGAGAATTATTTATTGACATCGGTGAATTTTCTACATCTGTGTATTATAAGGACTGTTTTACATTAGGACCAGAAATATATGACTTATTCTTAATTAAAAAAAAATTGTTATGGGTTCTAAAATTGATGCTCTTGTATGATTTTTTTCTAAGATATTTAAAGTAGAAACTATTTCTTTAAATTAATGATATTCTTGCATGGAGGATTTGTTATTTGTAATTTACTTTAGCCCACTGACTAGAAATTGCTAAGTTAGCTTAATTTTTCCCCCAGAGCTGTTTATTTTTCTTTACTTATGTACATCCTGGTTGAGCTGGAAAGTTGAGAAAAATAAAAGAATGGGGGAGGGAATATTAGAAAAATATGCAAATTCTGCTTGCTGTAATTGTGTCAATATCACTATGTTATTGGATAATTATAGGATTTGGAGGCCAATGACTATGCTTCATCTATTTCTCTGAGAAAGAATCTACTCAGCAAGAAAAGGGTTTGCTATCTGCTGTGCTAGCATGCAAATGTGTGTGATTTGTTTTTTCATTTTTATCTTCTGTATTGGTGTTTGCTGTGTGGTGCTGTCTTTTTTTGATGCATGACTCTGAAGAATAGTTTTATACAATTCTTTGTTCTATTGAACATTGGTCAAGCACTGACCTACCTACAGTATTGGGTTTGATCCCACTACACAAAAGTAAAAAGGATTGTGGGTGAATTTTTAAACATTAACATTTTCCATTTTGTACCTACTGCATCAGAAAAAGAATTTATGCCTGCCTGCCAGTGTTTGATAAATCATCCCATCTGGTTGTTGTTGCTGTTGTCTGTATTGAGGACTGGAAGAATATTTCTGTAGAAAGAAACCTACTTTTATTAATATTAATGTAGGC